CTGTACAAGAAGGACACACGGGTACAATACTTAAATGTATGATAAGACTGACCAGGCGAGAACAGTCTTCATGGCACCTTAAACGACCAACGCAGAGCTCGGCGTGTTATCGGCAAAACTATTCTTGTAGCATGAAGAAATGTTTTCAGAAATAAATAAATTAAGTCCAATGGCGGTACTAATGGTGGGGCGAGGGCGAGACCAAGCCCTTGGCGACTAGAAAACGACCCTCTAAGAGAATGTACTTTGGAAGGTGGACACCTGGATCAGTGAATAGTCTACGAAGTAAATACAAGTAACGTCGAGCACATTTCTTTTCCATCTCAGAGATTCACTCTTGCGTGATCATCAGGAAATTATCTGGTATGAATAATGCACAGGAAAGTAAGTGACGACTCTTTACGGGAGGAAGACAGTGGGAACCACGCATATACATGCTCTCACACCCGCTACCACTCTCACACCGTATGTGACACACACGCACATACACACACACACATAAATGCGCGCATGCCATAACAATAACAAATTATAGCAATAAAAACTGCTTTATGGCAGTTTTCTAAAAAAAAGTTATTGGGTTCTAGTCCATGGACCCCGTCTAAAAAGTAAGAAATTAACGAAATGTGATAGCCGAAAATTAAAATTTCACACAAAACCTCACAATAATCACACACAGGATGAAAAGCGAGAAGACCTTTTCCCCTCGTGGTCCTCTTTCCTATTCATGCATGTTGGCGCAGTACTCGACTACTCGTACAAGTCACCCTTGAAGTGTCAGACCAAGATGGACTCTTGGTAACACTAAACAAGTGTTGAAAGCAGTATTTTTTTTAAACTAAGATCCTCAAGTGTTGTGATTATTGTGAGGTTTTGTGTGAAATTTTAATTTTCGGCTATCACATTTCGTTAATTTCTTACTTTTTAGACGGGGTCCATTGACTAGAACACAATAACTTTTTTTTAGAAAACTGCCATAAAGCAGTTGTTATTGCTATAATTTCTTTTGTTTTTTTAGCTAAGGATATTTTCCATGGAATTCCTGCAAATGCCTGATTTGCAGCAGACACTCTGGCTGCCTTGTCTTCTGCTGTGCCTAGCATACTCCCCAGCAGCTTCACCGATTTCCAGGAATCATCTTCCTTGGTCACAGTGAAATATTGAGTTTTTGCCACGTTCAGCTTCAGATTGTCATCCGAGAAAACGGGTTCACACACACGGACGGTTTCTTCCACAGATGATCGCTCGTTCTGATGGGCAGTGGTGTCGTCTGCGTATTGTGTGAAAGTTGCTGGTAGGTCCCCGAGGACGGCCACGTCTGAGATGGATCGACGTTGTCAAGAAAGACTTACAATGCATTAATCTGTCGCTTCTGGATGCTGTGCAATCTGCTTCTGATAGAGCTGCTTGGCTCGAAATTGTTAACAGATGCGTTGACCTCATGCAATGAGTGAAATGCGAACTGTCATTATTATTATTAGTATTATTATTAGTGCAATTAGGAGTATAATCGATGCAGACATGGCCAGACAACAAAAATGTTTGACACCTATTATGTAATGCTGTAGCACTTCCTTTGTTGTTCACACTTTTAATTAATTATGCTGTTATAAAATGTTCTATTGTTGTACACAGTACCCTCAGTTCCGATACTATTCACTGATGAGCGGAACACGAAAATCGATTTTGAATAACATAAAAATCCTTAAAAATTCCATGAACTCGTTGTTGTCTGGCCATGTCTGCATCGATTATACTCCTAATTATTATTATTATTATTATTATTACAAAAAATGTATTATCTACGCATCCATCTACGCAAGAGTCACCACCAGCCAATTAGGACATGTGTCAAAGTATTGAACGTTTTCGTTCCCTTCTTGTCAAAATACTACAGGGAATGATGGAAATAAGCTAAAAGACTACAACTATAAGGAAAATAAGTTCAGAAACATATCACTCCAATTATGTGTAGAAGTGACGCGAAAAAATAGATGTGAAGAATCAAGAAAACAGCATGCAAATCCAATAAGTGACAAAAACGTAGTGACAAGAAAAAAAGAGAAATATCAAGAGATCTATTTCGCACCTTCACGACGAACAGTGCCAAACAACTGCAAAGACAACACATTCTCCTTCTGAACACAAAGCTCAGGGTCTAACTTACGTATGTACAAAGCTTCCAACACGGCAAGATGTAACAAAGACCTACCACGCGACAAAACAGAGAATACATCATCGGAATACCACTCACGACAACTAGCACTGCCCGACAGGTGACACTTGATTGCCGAGGTACCGTTTCCCTGACCCGACGACTTGGCCGTTGTCACCTCCGATATTGCCGCTTGCGAATCTCTCCCATTACGCCCCTGCAATTCCGATTGCCTCGGTCGAGATCAGTGTGTTGCTCCACGTCCAGTCTGTCCTGCTTCCGTGGTCTACCTTGTTTCTTCACATTAACCGTTGTTGTCACTTCCAGTATTGGTTCTTTTGATTCGTCATCAATTCGTCTCCTCAATTGACTTCTGGTGACTCGTCCGGGGCTCGATTGTCCAGATGTCAGTTTCGGTGGTTTCCGTATCGGTCTCTTCTTCTTTTTTTTTGTAATATTTTCTGCCTCCGTCCTACTTTCAAATTATTATTATTATTATTATTATTGTGTCCCCAATGGAATAGGGATGCCCTAAACGATGGCCTCTACATGTGCATCATATCAAATTCAATACCGTATTATTATTTATACGCATTGATGTGCAAGCCTTTTCTTGCAGAAAATGGCACTACAGACGATTTCAAAACTATAGACGCGTACCTGGGCAAAAACCGTTATGCCAGCATCTATACCACATAAAATCTGTGATCACTTTGTGCATACATTTTTCCAAATTGGGCGTCTGTTATCCAATCCTTTAGAAACTATATGAGAGTAATTGTGGAGCGATCCTGAGCAATATTCCGAAAACTATTCTCAAAACGTTCCAACCAAATTTGAAATATTTCAAAAACCCTACGTGTCTATAGTTTTGAAATGCACTGTAGTCTTGCATATTCATGTTCTTCTGCAGGGGAATCATATGGGTAGTGCAGTGGCGGTGATACTTTTTTATACGCAGGTCATTCTGTGGATGTAAAACTCGTTTCGGTCTCTTTTCAGTTTCTTTCATCGGTTCCGACCGTTGGAATGCACTCCCCGCCGCAGTCCGCTTATGCTCTTCACTGCACCTATTCCGTAATTCAGTACTTTCATTTCTAGGGTACCCTGTAAGAAGGCCTTAGGCCTGTGGGGATTGCCCTATCAAAAATTTGATAATAATAAATATAATGTTGCCGTTGCAGAATTTCATGTCATAAAATTCTCTTGTCTTTCCGAAAATTCAGATGTCCACACCCTAAATCACATTTACTTGAGAATTGTAACCAGGTGCGTGCCGCAGATGTTTTTGTTGATTCTGTGTTTATAATTTTAGTCATGGGTTGTCGTGATAAGGCCATCCTGCATCATATTGTACTGAAATCGTAATCCTGTTGATGTCGATATAACTTTTGGAAGTAGTTCAATGACTTCAAAGTGTTACAAGTCCACGATTGTCTAAAACAACACAGAAAAGTAGGAACAATAAACATGTATTAAAATGTAAACAAATACATTGTTGAGTCCGACACCTCGTTCCAACAAGTACACTTATCCTGAGTATATACATGCAAGGTGCAAGGATATAATGGTTGGAGGTACTGAGAGATAAAGAAGGCACTCCATAATAATAAAATGTTACACGACTTTGGGGCAGTATGAATGATATCCAGTCAAACCTCTTTAGGACGAACATCAAGGGACCGATGGTATTTGTTCTGTGAGTTTGTCTTAATTAACTCTATTTTATAACGAGTGAATACAATTATTTCTCCAATACAGACACGAATAGATTTCTTCTACAGCGAAAGATTCTAAGCCAGACCAAACCATTGACTCGTCTTGTATGAAACAAATGAGTTACTGAACCTCTCTTTAGCAACATGACGGCCACTGAAACAACAAAACAGAAAATACGATACATGTAGAGCACATCCTTTAAGGTACTACAAACAGATTGCAGATCGTAATTCTTGCTCTGCCGGCACATAACTTTATTTGGGGCAGTGCAATCTCGGCGCTACTCACAAATCAAGCACCCCAGACTCGAATAAACAAATCCAATCCTACGAGATTTTTACGAGACGAGACTGCACCCATTGGCTTGGTTCGTATGAAGCAAACAAGTCACTGAATGCATGAACCTCTCCATAATGGAGGTTTTCCCTGATATGCGAATTTATTTTGCATACTCGGCCAATGCGTCCCTGAACCTTTCCCTCCATATTGGGAACTGCCAACGATGCTATGCCACTGCAAAATTCAGATTCTACCCTATGTCTATGATCGGAGCACGGAATGCCGGAAGCAATCATGACCAGTGCCTTACTTGTAACGTACCAATGTACAATGAACATGAGTATTTCGACAACACATCTAAGCCTCAGCAGCAACATAAGCCTTACCGTCAAGAAGGTGAACTCGCGTTCTTCGCACACTGTTGGCAAGGGCAAAGTGATACGAATGGATCTAAATCCGAATAAAATCAGCACACGTGTCCGTAAATGAAAGGGTGAGCATAAGCAAATGAATCGAAGGAAACTGGTCAACTCAGAGATCACCTGTCATTGAGTATTCCGTAAAAGGAGGCCTCGACAGCAGAAAAGCTAAATTTAGAAAAGAGATCCTGTCAGCTTTTCCAATATTCATTGTATTCCACCTACTTCCTCCGTTAACAAAAACTTGGTGATGGAATTTTGAGGGGCTGATTTGGGCACAAACTGCCGTGAAATGAGTCGCAATCACTTTTTTGGCCTTCCCTGGCATGCCATGACAGAGGTACGATGCAAGGAAAGCGACCTTCGACAACAAGCCGAGCGGAATCGATGGTTGCGCTGTGGAAACATAGGTGATGACAGTCATGGCG